AAATCGTAGTTAAATAAAAAAGAAAAAAAAAAAAATCTTTTAATTTTAAAAAGATGACGTTGAAAAAATTTTTACCGTTAACAATTTTTTTTTTTTTTTTTTTTTTTTTTTTTTTTTTTTAAACGACATCCATTCAACCGACGTCAGGTTTCAGTGTAAAATACATCCTCACCCCTTAAAAAATGGCTAATAACTGATACAATGATACTGTCATAAAGGAAAATCTAGACACCCCGTGTTCAATTTGAGTAGAATATTCTGTAAACTGGAAACGTGATTTTGGCTGTGTATTTAAAACCCGGTAAATTTTAAAAAATTACTCCAAAATTCGCTTGAAGATGAAATAGAACTAATGCTTTTAATTTATTTGCAAAATAAAATTAATTAGCTTTTAATTTTTAAAACATTTTTGAAACTGTGTTGAAATATCTATATATATATTCATATATATATATATATTCATATATATCTATATATATATTCATATATATATATGTATATATATTCATATATATATATATATTCATATATATATATGTATATATATATTCATATATATATCTATATATATATATTCATATATATATGTATATATATATATTCATATATATCTACATATATATTCACATATATATATGCATACATATACATATCTATATATATATTCACATATATATATATATATGTTACATATATATATATGTATTCACATATATATGTATATACATATATATATATATATATATGATGCATATATATATATATATATATTCACATATATATATATATATATATATTCATATATATATATATATATATATATTCACATATATATATATATATATATATATATATATTCCTCATATATATATATTATATATATATATATTCATATATATATATATATATATATATATTCACATATATATATATATATATATATATATATATATATATATATATATATATATATTCATATATATATATATATATATATATATATATATATATATATATTCATATATATATATATATATATATATATATATATATATATATATATATATATATATATATATATATATATATATATATATATATATATATATTCACACACACACACACACACATATATATATATATATATATATATTTATATTAACGTCCTGAATGGACACAGCCCATAGAAGAAGAAAGATAAAAAAGAAATGAGCCCAAAAGAATAAAGAGTAACCGACTGTACAAGCTTTTACAAATGGCTGACAGAATCAGAAGTGGCAGGAATGGTGAAAAGACAAACATTTTGTAAACATTCCGGCAAAGAACAGGAAGTTGTGGAGAGCCATGGGAGCGGCATTTAAAAGAAGTATATAAAAATATTACAGTGAAAGCGAATGAGAAGGCAGAGAATGGGGAGGAGTGAGGTGTGGACAAAAAACAAACAAGATTCAAGAAGGCATAGATGACGTTGCATGTAAATTTTTGCAGATTGTAATTATCAAGGGAGACACGGAGGAATAATGGATAACGGCTCGGATTGAGGAATCGGAGTTCGAATTAGAGTCGGATTCATTACGTTTCACTTACGTCCTTATACCGTTGGGAAAGGTATGAATCCTCTTCTTTTGACCCCATGGGTAAATAGCAGGACAGACTGGGTTCTATAACCTTGGGTGACAACCGAACTAGGAAAAGAAAAAACTCAAAAGGAAAATTCAAGACAGGCCTGGAGAGGGTTGGGCTCCATCATGCTATCTTACCCAAGAGACACCACTACTGGCTGCACTACTAAGTTATCAAGGAAGCGAGAAATCGGAAGGGAGTTCCACAGATGGGAAGTGCGAGGAAAAAATTGCAGTAGGAGTGGTGGTTCCAGCTAGCTAGTTCGACAATAAAAAAATGAGACCTATTTGCCAATCTAGTAGCACATTTGGGCCACCAGAGAAAAAAGCTTATCAGAACAGTTGCCATGAAAATATTTCTAGAAAAACAAAGCCAGGTCATGTTGATGAGAAAGTGACTGAAATCGAGATGCCTGGTCAGGATCGATTATACCACAGACCCTTCTTTGGATTTTGTCAAGAATACAAAATATAAATAAACACTTCTGACATTTTCAAGAATTCAGAAAAATATTAGTTTTCGTCGTTCTCTTTAAATCTGTTGCAGTGTTAGTTGTATGGTGCAGTGTATTTCAATTAGACTAGATGAGATTACTCTGGCATCAGACTTCCTTATGTGTGGGATCCAGTTGTAAGCAATGGGTTCACTTGGCTTAAAGCCGACCCTGTTTTTAGCAATAAGCTATTTTTCTCTCTTTCTCTTTCATTCTATGTTTTTCTTCTCAGTTTTTTTTTTCTTTTTAACTCTCCTTCGGTCTTTTACTCTTTCTTACACTTTCTCGCTTAAACCGAACGAACATCATATCCTGTCAGAGGCGATGTGCCATGCGCCATTCTTAAGCCAAGCTGACATCCGGCGGAAGCTCTTCGCTGGCTGAACTCCGGCCAAATAGCCACGCAGAGAATCACCAACTTCCGGTGGAGCACTCCATGTAATCGTAATTGCCGAAAAGAGGGTATTTTCTTAAAACTGTCGTTTGTATTCCCACGGGTTCTTTTATGGAATCGATTATCATTTAGATTCCTTTAGAACGTTTGTTGTGTATTTTGTTTTCAATATCGCATACAGTATTAAATACCAATCAGTTAAGTGCCATACGAAATACACGCTTGGGCGGTCATCTCTCTTTTGATTCATGTCTTTCTCGCAGGAGGTTGCCGTTTCTTTCTCTGGTAGACTGGTTGCAACTCAAGTCTATCCTGTCGTTCAATTGATAGCTTGGCGGAGAAGAGATGATTTCATACAGTTCCTAAATGTATTTATAGATAAGTGAATATAACGAACCCGACTGGAATTCGAACTCGACTCTCCGAATTCTCATCTTGAGCCGTTATCTGTTGCCCTTTTTTTTTTCTTTTATTATAATTTCTACTTTTATGTCATTTTCTTTCAAAGAACTTGTACTTTGTTTTCGCTTAATACACACATTTGGAAGTGTAAAGATTGATTTTAAACAAATACAAATGTAGATTTTTGAACGACTTGATTTTTTTTTTTTTAAGTTTATCGATTTTTTACGCTATCTCTTACATTGTACAATGTATGTGCCAAGTTTGGTCAAAATCGGTTGGATGGATGTCGAGTGAAAAGCTATCACACAGACAGGCAAACAAACACACATACATCCTCTGTTATATATATAGATATAGATATAGATAGATATAGATAGATAATCCATGTTTATATTGAAATTTTCTTCGCAGAAATTTAATGATTTCTAATAAACTTGAAAGTTAGGACTTTTGGAAATAGAAGATCTGTATAGCCAGTTGCATCTCAGAAGGAAAAGTGCTAATGTAGATCAATTTACAACCCACCAATGGCTAAGGTCGCTCAGGGGCAAAGGGTGAGGACGATTCCCACCGGCTTAGCTATTCGATATGGCACTAGTATTTGGTAACAAATAACTTCAATCATTCCAACCAACACGATAATAAAAAAATCAGTATTTTCCTTTGGTTGCAAAAGCTACTTAGAAACCTTCTCGTACGTTTTACTACACCATGTGGGGAGTCTTTTTTTTTTTTTTTCAAATCTTTTCACCCCAAGCAAGATGTGAGTGCCACTAGCACACAAGGGGTTACATAAGGTGGGAGTAAGAGTAAAGAGGCGTGATAAAGGAAAGGATTAAGAGAAGGATGGGGAATAGATCAAGGCATCTGGCTCGACACAGAGAACCAACTTTCCTGGCGTAGATGAATCTATTGATTCAATGTAATTGTGCCATTTCAGGTCAGCGAACAGTGTGAGACCAAGCAGTCGCAAAGAGGTTCTTTTGTGGAGTTGAGCATCAGATATTCTAATGGGGCAGGAAGGGTTCTCTGTGATGGGTAGTAGAGAACAGTTTTTGAGGCATTAAAATTAATACGCCCCAGTCAACAACAGATTGGAGGTCCTTTACCAATATGGAATAAAGAATCAGACGGCAATAGTATTTCGTGTCAAATGATTAATTTGAATCTCCACCACAATCACAAATATAAATGTAGTAATTTTTTCCAAACGCTATGTTGAAACATTCTAACAGGCATGGCTATTGCATTTAGAAATGCCATTATTTGTCAATTGTTAAAGGTAAATTGTTCGCCTCGGGCAATTTATGGCGGCACTATTATTTGATGCATAACTATAAAAGTCGACATTTCTATTTGATTCCAAAAGTGAGATAGAAACATTCACACAGACATGTATATATTGCCAAATGAGAAAAAAAGAATTATTAGAGACGGCACGTGTATTTCGTGAAATATGATAGTGAATCATTGCCAACAGTATGATTTCACAAGTTGACATTTTTATTTGTTTCCAAAATCAAGCTTTCATCTTCCAAATTCGTGTGTAGTAAGCAAAAACAAAGCACAAGTCTTTGAAGGGAAATTACAAAAGAGTAGAAATCATGAAAAGTAGAAAAAAATAAAAAAGTAGGAATTATAAAAAAAGTTGGAACCATAAAAAACTTAAATAATAAAAGCAGATACTATAAAAATGTTAAAAAGTAAGTATAAAAACGTAGAAATTATAAAATGTATGAATAAAAAAAGCAGAAATTATGAAAAATTTTAGATAATATTAAAATGTAGGAATTGTGAAAATGTAAAAATTATAAAAATGTAGAAATTATAAAAAACAGGTACTATAAAAATGTAGAAATTGTAAAATGTGTGAATGATAAAAAGTATGAATTATAAAAAATTAGATTCAATAAAAATGTCGACATTATAAAAAAGCAGATACTAGAAAAAATGTAGAAATTGTATAGTAGGAAACATAAAATGTAGAGTTTATAAAAAATCGATACTACAAATATGTAGATATTATAAAAAAGTAGGAATAAAAAAGTAGGAATCAGAAAAAGTATAAATAAAAAAAGTAGATCGTATAAAAATGTCGACACTATAAAAATGTAGACATTATAAAACAGTAATAACCATTTAGATATTATAAAAAGTAGGAATAAAAAGGTAGAATTTATAAAAAAAGTAGGAATCATAAAAGTATAAATAATAAAAGTGGATACTATAAAAATGTAGGAATCATAAAAAGTATAAATGATAAAAGTTGTTGCTATAAAAAGTATAAATGATAAAAGTGAATCCTTTAAAAATGTAGACATTATAAAAAGTCGATACTTTAAATATGTAGACATTATAAAAAAAGTAGATACTATGAAAAAGAAAAAAAATATTAAAAACAGTAGAAATACCGTGGGAATATAGAAAGTTAAAAAAGACAAAAAAAGAAAAAAAATTGTTTTACCCGACAAAAATGAAAAATTTCAGTCGCTTATAGAAAATACTTAAAAAAAAAACAAAAAGTAAGTATCCATAATGAATAATTACAGACGGGAAGAGATAAAAAAAAAACATTAAAGAGAAAAATCTAAAATAAACACCCAGAAGATAAACCTATACGTACTTGAAGGTTTTTACATATATCTGCACAAATAGGCTGGCGAACACACACACACACACACACACACACACACACTATCGCGCATGCGCTTATTGCCATGTCCAATCGAAGGAAAGGAATTTGGCCTAAAGCTAAGAAATGTTTTAAGGAAAAAGAAGAAAATAAATTCCCGGAGCAGAAAATACCAAAAGTAAAAGAGGGTGAGAATGTCAAAGGGTTAGCGATATAAAAAAGAAAATAAATACCAACAAGAGATAGTTACATGTGTTCATCCACTAGCAAATACACTGGTGGGGCTAAAATTGCCAAAAAGAGCCAGTCGTTTGAAAATGTATACTTCTATAGCGTGCTTGTGCGTACACCTACTTACTCACACACACTTATACAGTGTGTATATATATATATATATATATATATATATATATATATATATATATATATATAATGTGTGTTTTGTAAATATATAGAAAAATAGGAAAGAACCGTTAGTAATCCAAAGTTCTTTAGTATTTTTGTTTTTTATTTTAAAATACAGTGCTCGATACACAAGTAGAGCCTACTTTAAAATTATTTTAAAAATGATGATTATATATATATATATATATATATATATATAATATATAATATTAATATTATATTATATATGTATATAATTTTTAAATTTTTTAATATATATTTTTAAATATATTTTTATTTTTATTTATTTATTTAAATTTTTTAATATATATATATTTTTAAAATATTTTTTCTTAATATAAACTATGTAAAAACAATATATTGTTAATCTTTATATTTTATTTGGAAGTATATTTTGCTAATTTTGAGTGGTAAAATGTTGTTTTGTAATGTAATTAATAATTAATAGTTTCGTTTTAAAACTTCCTTTTTTCGGCCTTCCTTGAATTTCACTTGATTTTTCTTATAACTCCAACTTGGGGTGTTAAGGTTTTAATTCGTGTAACTTCTTTCCATTTAAGCCAGACAACATCCACCCTCCCCTTACCACCACTTGGGCAGTTTGGTGTTGTCTTTTTTTCTTAGCTCTGTGTCAATTTTTCAACTACTGTCTCTTTTTCAACTATTTAATTTTAAATTTTCTAGTACCGAAATTGAATACAATGCAACACTTTGAGTTGAATAAATCTAATGCATCGACGTTAGTTGAAATATTTTATACTCATGAGGTAATCTTGGATTTCTCTATTAAGTAATTTATATGCTTTGTTATAATAAATAAGACAGTAGGATCCCCAATGCGACGAAAAGCTCTTGACTGGTAAGTCCAGGATTCTTCGTGACATGAGACGACCTGAAATAACCCTCGGCTTGCCTTTATCTGCTCTTTTGCGTACTTGTGTAGGGTCGGCGGTGAACTTTTTCACTGATGACACCTCCCTATCATTTTAGAAATTTCTAGGGTAGATTTACTTTTTGAGAGTTCTGAGGTGATAGTTTTCTTTTCAGTATCACTTAAACTGCTTTTACAGCCAATCTTTTCACTAAATTCTTACACTTTTCTAATAATTTGGCACGGTCAAATCACCGTGCTGATAACAAATATGGCGCCAGTTTGTTTACATTGCGCAGATCAGTCCGAAAGTTTCAGTGATTGCGCAGGTTAATGTTGCCAACATTGTGTGACAATTTTGTGCGAATTGATTGGACGGTTTTTGAAATATTAAAAAAAAAAGTTATCTCGATAATAATTTGGCACGCAAATATATATATATATATATATATATATCGACCGTAGTCACTTTCTTACGGACGTGATGAGATTTCCCTCTGTCATTTCTACAAATATTTTCATGGCAACTGCTCTGACGACCTACATTCACTGGTGCCCCAACTGCATGAATTTAAGCGTGCTACTAGGTTGGCATCTCAGTCCCACCCTTCGACTGTCGAAACGGTTAAATGCAATCACCTCTTCTACTCCAACAGCTTCTCGCACTTCCCGACATT